TTTTTTTATAATTTAATAAAAATGCAAAATACAGTTTCATGGCCTATGAAAAATATTTGTGGTCAGTATTTGTATTTATATTTACTAAACAATATTTATATAATTATATTTAGCATAATTATATTTAATAAAATCATGCAAAATACAGTTTCAAGTAATTATAGTTTGTAAATTCTCATAATTCACATACTATTGGCAGGCATGGCAAAAAGCTCATTTTGGATTCTGTATATGACTGCTCAGGCAGTGTAAGATACTTCTTTTTCAGTTTTGATATGTGAGAGGATTCACGAATGTGAAATATTTAAGTCCAGCTATGGCTGGACACATTTGTCAGTTAGCTCCTTAACAGAGACGCTAGGGACCTGCTTCCACTGCTGACTCTCTCTCTACCCTCTATTTCTGGAGTCATTCATTTTTCACCCCTGTCTAAATAAAACCACATCACCTCATCCAAACCATATTATCCTTATACACGACTCTTCTTCCAAATCCCCAGCTTAGGGCTCCTTATTTTCCCCCTACGATCCTTAGACAACAAAATCACTGGGTGGATGTTAACACTATTAAAAGCTCAAGACCTAAAGTACCTCAGATTGACAGGTTAATTACATATGGAACTTTTCTGGTTGAACGTAGTATAAAATGTTTTCTCACAATCTTCTGATGCAGGTGACTGATATGATGCAGAAAGCCTTGTTTGACTTCCTGAAACACAGGTTTGATGGGAGGTGAGTGCAGAAACTGTTTGGGTGAGTGCAATTTGTTTCACTGGTTTAGAGCTTAAAAGTGAAAGCGCTACTCTTACAGGAACAGTTCACCCAAAAATGTACATTTGTAAAAATGGAAATAAATAATTGACCTACCCTCTTTCTTCTGTAAAGTATCATAAAAATGGTCCAAACTTCTTGTGTGCTATATTAGGATATAATAAGGCTTCTAAAGGTGTATTTTTGTATTTAGTATGTGGTTTCATGGCAGGATTTCTATCACACGGGTGACTGCAGATC